CATGCATGGTGGGGCGCGGGGCAGGCGGCCACAGCACCCCAGCCTCGGTCCCGCAGGCCGGATAACTTCGGAAGGGGCAGGACCGCAGAGCAAACCCAGACAGGACAGTGTCATTGAGAAGGCCAGGGCTTGTTTATCTCCTCGTTATTCATGGAGGAGGGCGCGATGAGAGCGACCCAACTCGCGAAATATTCGATGATCTACTCAATGTGATTGGTGTTTGTTTACCTTTCGCTCAGTACAGTCCCCGCCCTCATGTGGATAAGAGCTACCCTCCTCCACCCTGCCCGCCCCGGGCTCCCTTTTCTAGCGACAATCGAACCGCACACGGGACGGGCCTGCCAACCGACACCCTCCCTCCTCCTCCTCCCCGCACACCCGTACGACCTTCTGGGCCGTGGTGAAACAGGAACCTGGACAAACACAACGCCTCGGCGCCGTGTGCCGCCGCAGCCCGGAGGCCGCAGCCCGGCCACGCACCTGCGCTTCTCCCATCTCCCTTTCTCTCTCTCTCTCCCGTATCAATTTCACTCTCCCCACCCCTCTTTCCTCAATTTTCCGTATCGCGCAGGAGAGCAGGCACCGCCGCCGCCGCGCGCTGTCAAACAGAGGACGCTAGCCTGTTGGGATTGGGGCCCCCGCCAGAATCGCCGCCCCGCAGGTATCCGGGGTTCGTACTCACGCCACTCCGTCATGACGCCAGCCACCCCGCTTTGGTTTGGACAGTAGCAGCAAGCAGCGGCCGTCCTTGGCGTCCTTACCTGAAACAAGCCGAGAGAGAGAAAAAAAGTCGAAATTACTATCACGTTATTAAACGAAAAGGAGAAAATAGTAAAAACTTGAGTGCTTTTAGAAGAAAACGATCCTTTATGCTGCGCTCCGCTTTGGTCCCCGGAGCCATGTCGCAAACTTAAAGGGCGACGGGGTGGGGGAAGGGATGAGAGCGGCTTCCAGTTTCTTGCGCGCTTGGACACTTCCTCCGCACAAGTCCCGGCCCGCGGCGGGTCCGGCCCCGGCCGGGCAGAGCTCCGGAGGGCCTGGCCCTCGGCCTGGCCCGACCCTGTTTAGGACCGGACGTCATCAACTCGACTGCGCGCACTGCGAGCCCCCGCGATCGCCCGGCTTCAAACACTGGCCTATTTGCGGCGGCGCCCCGGCCCTGGCACCG